TTATTATAATAATAATAATCATATATTCATCTCATATAAAGTTAGTTACAAATTATCACAATGTTCTAAGCTAGGTCAGGTGCAGAAAAACAAGAAAATGTTCTGTGTGAAATGGTGATCTACCAGAGGCACATTGCATGGGGCACCATAGGTAGGGTTGCCATCTTTTCTTCAAGCGAAACCCTAACACTCTAGCGACGCGCGGACATTTTTTGGGGGAGAATGAGTCACGGCTTATTCATATGTAAATAGCGCCGCCCATTCATATGTAGATATCACAGTTGAGACTATTTCCAGTGGGGGGATAGTAGCCCCTATCTTAATTTTGGTTGCCCCTGTCTCCCTGACATCTTGTGTCCGGGTTTCTGCTGCCATGAAACCCGAACACAGCATTCAAAACCCGGACTGTCCGTGCAAATCCTGAACACGTGGCAACCCTAATCATAGGCTGTGTGCCTGCAGATGCCAGAGAAGAAAATCCATCCGTAAAAGCTGCCTATATTATTTACATATTCGCAGTTGGCTGGGATATAAGAGAATTGGTTTAGAAGAGAAGACGACATTCTAAAGGTGGCCATACACTGTACAACCCTCGCAAGACTTTTGTCTTGCGAGGGTTGTAAAGTAATTAAAAAAAACGTACGATCTGCCCATCTTGGACAGTCAAGATCGTACTTGCGGTCATCGCAACCCCTCCCCGCTGAGGGGCGGGCTTCCGATGACTGCAATGCTGAACGGGCAGTGTGCGCGTGCGCACACCGGCCCGTTTGGCAGTCGTCGAACAAGCACGCCCCTAACCCCCCAAAAATCGTAAGATTCTCAGCGGGTTTTCCAGCCTGCTTGTTCGACGGAAGACGTGCGACCGTACAGTAGAAACGTTCGCACGCCTTCCATACACTTTGTGATTATCGTACAATCGTGGGATTTCCCGCGATAATCGTACAGTGTATGGGCACCTTTACACTCTCCTTCTTATACAAAGCAGACAACCCCGGGCACGAATAAACCAAGCTGGGTGCACTTATTTCAGTACATAGGTTTAAATGTCATGTACAGCCGAGTAATATTATTTGCTGCATCTACATAAGTATTTGCCTTTGGCTGTGGACTTTTGTGAAGCAAGTTACCTGAAAATGTCAGGAATATAAAAATCTCCAGCTAGGTGACAGAAAAAGTATTTTCAGCAAATGTTCTTTTTTCAAAAGATGTTTTTAAATCTACACACACATTAAAAATGTCTCTTCCACATGTACAGTAGTGTAGCTGACCAAAACACATATTTTAGGTAATCCGACTATTGAATTTCTCAGTCTGCCGGCTATTATCTGCACAGGATAATAATATATGTGCGCGCGCACAACACACACAGTATAATAGGACCAAAAAAAAAAAGGTTTAACATAAAAGTAATCAAATCACAAACACAGCTACACAGGCCACTCGTATTAAACTGACCTTTACACGCAAAAATCCAATTCAGTGAAAATATATTTTTTATTATAATTTTTTTTACTGTTGGGGAAATATTGGGGGTCTAAACCCCTGACATTTCCCTATTGAAATCAAAAAAGAGATTGAAGAGACAGTCCTCTGCCCATACTGGTGGGAGAGCAGCAGGGATCTGAGGAGAAGCTGGAGCCTGTGCCGCCCCTCTTCTCCCTGCCAAGCCGTAGCTGTGTTGGCCGCCTGGCTCCCCTGTTGCCAATGGCGCCCTATGCTCACCATGGCAACAGGGGCGAGGAGACGCAGCCATGGCCGGTCCTGGCTGTGCCCCCTCTCAGCTGCGCCTGAGGCGATTGCCTCACTCGCCCCATGGTAGCTACAGCCCTGACGGCCGCTACTGCCCCAAGTGACTCCTGCGTTTATCCAGAGCTGGGCTCGGAAGTAGTCAATGCTCCCCGAAAAACTTCACGCATATACTGACAGCAGGAGCAGTTTGCAAATTACATTATTAACATTATTATTATGAAAATAATCATTTCAACAGACGTATTTATTACTTTTGACAGCGCCAGAAAAACAGAGTGTGTATTGCAGGAAAAGCGTTTTTATGTATTTGTTTTTAATTTTTACGGCTGAGCAATAGATTAAAACAATATAAGGTGGGATTGGGTTTTGAAGAAATTAATGTCAAAAGAGAACTGTGTGGTGACCTTTTTATCCCATAGTTCTCTTTAGGGTCACAGGAGGACCCCAAACCTCCTCCCGTGACCCAAAGCTCAGTATATTGCGAGCTATTGTTTGCTATATACTTAGAGCGCCGCAGCCGGGACGGATCCCGACAATACCGTGGAGATCCACCCAGCTGACTGATTGACAGCGGGCTCTGCCTATCTAGAGGCAGAGCCAGCTGTGCCCGTCCCCTCCCCCATCCATTCCTCTAGTCAGCGCTGGAGGATCGGAGCAGGGAGGGGGGAATCCCTGCAGGGGCCCATGACGGTCAGTCACAGCTCTCTGCAGGGAGATGATCGAGAAGTGAGCGAGTGATGGTATGTGTTCGCTGACTAACCCGATCTATTGATCCAACGTGTGACAGTTTCAATGTCCCACGTCAACTCTAATAAGGATGAGTGGAAATCGCACACCTCATACTTCTCCTTTAAACAAAGGGGTTGATTTATAAAACTTCCACCTAGCCACATGCTGGGCGAACACTCTTCTCACACCATTCCAGCCACTAGATTGAGCCGAGAAGCAAAGGAAATTCCAATGCTCCTCAGACCCATCTAGTGGCTGGAATGGTGTGCGAATGGCATTCCCTCAGCGTGCGGCTGGGCAAAAGTTTTATAAATCAAACCTTCAGTTTTTTTCCCCTAGAAGCTGATATCTATGTAGAAAAGGTCGATATTTCTGCACAGTGATGTAATGGTTAGCACTTCTGCCTTGCAGCACTGGGGGTCCCCGGTTTAAATCCCGGTCAGGGCACTATATGCATGGAGATCAGGACAGGGACTGATGGGGATGCGCAGTATGTACAGTGCTACGGAAATTGACGGCGCCATATAAATATATGTAATAAATAACAAACTCCATTTGTGCAGCTGACAAACTTTTAATGTCACTTACCTTCAACTGCGGCAATGCGGCCACAACATATTTCCGATACCCTTCATACTGTGCGCAGGGGTTTCCCACCAGGTAGAGCTCCCGCAGATGAACATTGTGCTGCAGGCTTTGAACAGTAGACAGCTCACCTACAAAGTTCACCGTCAGATCCAACTTCTGTAGGGACTCGCAGCCTGAGAAAATAAGACAGATATAAGGTATGTGTCCCAAACGAGGGGGAGGGGCAGTTTGCAACTCTCAGCATCCCCTGGGAGCGACAGCTTAAAGTCGACCTATCGTCAGATATCAATGAAGTGCATTTACACTAAGTGATGTGTCAGTGTAACACTTCCGGGTATTCATTACCTCTCACAGGGATCACAGTACTCCCCCTGGCTATGCCTTCCTCTACTTTTCTCTCCAGCAGGATGAAGCCATCTTTGTTCAGGCATCATCCAGGGTCGCCATCTACTTCCTGGACTGAGATGCCGGCTCAGAGGTGATCGTGTCAATACTGCTGCCTGTGCAGTTCTTGGTTGTGTTCATACATTTCTTACACAGATCAGCCAATGCCTTTCACCTTGTGTTGTTACAAAGTTACAATGCTGGAGTCTGATCACTGGGGCAGAGAAGACTGAGGAAATGCTTCCTTTTGCCTGCAGCACACTGATGACATCATCCCACCCTAGGCAGAGTCGCTGGACTGGAGACCAAGGAAGGTCTTCCTGTCCCGTTGACCTCTTTTTTTTCTGGTGTAAAAAAAGAGTGAGGAAATCTCCCGATCGGCATCGTAGACAGAAACAAAAAGCTGGTGGATGCTGTTAACCTTTCTCGTAAGCATAACTGAGGGTACATCTGGATGTAGATGGACAGAGATCTTAGTATGAGTGACAGGCAGTTGGACAACAACCACAACAGCTATCTTTAAAGAGACCCTGTCACCAGACCATTCATTTCAACAAAAACCTTCCTATAAGATATGTGTATTTTTACATATTTACTTGTAAAATCCTTCCTTGCGTAGGCATCCAAAAACTCTGGTGCTGGGTGCTACCATCTTGGATGTGATGCCAGCAGCCTCAGAGCTGTCACTTGAACAAACCTCTATAACAGCCTTTCTAAACCAAAGTTCCGTGGAATCCTAAGGTACCTCGAGAGGTTGTTAGGGGTTCCTTGACTAACCACAAAGGTAACCACTAATCTGAAGGACATTCCTCTTCCAACTGTCCACCAATGCCAGTGGTCTATTGTACAGCTGACTATAAAAGTAGGAGGACCTGCTCGGTTGACCTCCATTGTAAGGGGGAGTGGGGCTTCCTCCCTAATCATCAATATAGGGGGCACTGCTCTACTGACCACCAATGTAAGGGGCATTTTTCCATTGACCACCAATGTAAGGGGCACTGCTCTACTGACCTCCGATGTAAGGGGCACTGCTCTACTGACCTCCGATGTAAGGGGCACTGCTCTACTGACCTCCGGTGTAAGGGGCATTTTTCCATTGACCACCAATGTAAGGGACACTTCTCCACTGACCATTAAAGCGCACCTTTACCCATATCTTTCAAATAACAACAAACACACGTTTAGAAATTATTAGTAATGACTAGGGATGCACCGATACCGATACTAGTATCTTTGCCGATGCCGAGTATTTGGGCAAGTACTCGTACTTGCCAAAATGCTCCGATGCCTGGCCCGATATTTGGGCTTCCGGTATCAGGAGGCCGAGCAGCGAGTCATTACACACTGCACGGCTTCCTGATTGGCCCTGAAGTCGTCTCCATGCTCCCTCGTCACATGTGACAAGGGATCATGGAGCTGGCTTCCCGGCCAATCAGGAAGCTGGGCAGTCTGTCATTACATGCCCCCTGGCTTTTTAATTGGCCAGAAAGCTGGCTCCATGCTTCCTAGTCACCTGCTCATGAGGGAGCATGGAAACGGCTTCCCTGCTAATCGGGAAGCCGGGTGGCAGGTCATTACACACTGCCTGGCTTCCTTAATGGGACTTCCGGTACCGATATTCGGTATCGGCGAGTACCGGGAAAAAAAAATATCGGTACTTGTACTTGATACCAAAAAAAACGGTATCGGTGCATCCATAATAATGACAATCTACAAACAGATACTTCTAGATAACTGCCGGCTTTGTATTCTTTGCATTCCTTATTTCTCTTTTCTTCCCCAGTCTTCTGGCAGTGGCCATGTTTACTAAGGGCAGATTACTAGATCTCCTTTTACTTCCTGGATTTCTGACACATGTGACTAGACATGTAACTAGGACATGTGACCCTGCACATCATCTCAGGGGCGAAATTGCCTTTCCCTGAGATCTCCTGAGATTACAGATGAGATTTCCCAGCAATACTCTGCTGATGACAAGGCGCAGAGCGGCTCCGTGTAGACAGTGAGAGGGGAGAGCTGTGCTGTGCTCTTCCTCTCTCACCTGTCACAGGAGTTCCAACACAGTGCTGTGCTAGAACTCCTGTATATTAAATAAAAAAATAAGAAGAAATAATAAATAAATAAAAAAATAAAAAGTGATAAAAAAGTTTAAAAAAATAAAGAAACAGTAAAGAAAATGTAAACTAACCCCGCGGCCCTGCCATCTGGTTGCCATTCTCCATTTACAGTTTTCACTGTCTTTTTTGTTTTAACTATTATTTGTTTTGTTTTAATTTCTTGGATATATCGAGCATAGGGGTGTTGAAAAGGATTTGCCTTGGGTATCAAATATGTTAGGAACACCAAATAATGTATTCATGTATTTATTATTATATGGACAACTTGCTGATCACTGGAGTAAACATGTCAAATATGTGCTTTTAACTGCAATTGTTAAATTGCTGACAGGGTCCCTTTAAGGTGCACTAGTTGGGGGGAGATGCCAGTGTGGCTGTAATTTATAGGCTGATCGTCTATCCTCAGTGGCCCCTTAGGGATCCTGCAGTAGATGTTTTTACACTGCATATTGCAGGAAAAGCACTTGTGCAGCTCAGTTCAAGCCCGACAAAATCGATAAAAAGTCATAAGGTGATGAGAGCTGGTCCTGTGAGGAAAATGACATACGACTGGATCAATGGATAATCAAGACCCCAAAAAAAGGAAGAAAAAATAAGGAATACACTCGGCCGTGGATAGCCACCGATTGACCTTACTGTAAATAAAGTGATTTATACTGACCCCATGTGACACCTAAATAAAGAGTTTAAAAAAATACAGTCAGCTGGAAATTGTACCTAATAAACAAGCACATGCTGACGTGTTTTGGTTAAATTGGAAAACAAAAACCTTTTTTTGAACCTTTTACTGCCACCGGAGTTATTATTATGGCGCAGCATTATTGAGCTTGGGGGGTCACAAAAGCAGCTGTGATTTTATCTGAATTTTTTTAAAAGGCACAGTCTACCTTTGGCAAAAAAAGTAAATGCAGCAACATGGATCTCATGGTCGATGTGCATTGACTCCTTTTTTTGTAATGAAGCCTGCAGAGCATTGCACCCACGATCAGTGTGTCTCAGGTGCAATGCACAAGCCCTTGCAATTTACTACCACAGTACGGAAGTAGGGACCTGCTTATATAGGGCTGAAGGAAGTGCAGCTGAACTACAGCATGAAGAGGGAGGTGGGATTTCCAAAGCACTGTGCATAGTCCCTCCAGGGGGGGACTTGTTAAAATTTGCAGCACGAGTGCCCAGGCTTTGATGGTGCGGTTGTGCTAAATTCAGATAATTTGAATATGTTGCAGGTGGAAGAATTCCATAGTTCAAGTAAGGGGGAGTCAGTTTGGGTTTTGTGGGTGTTGTAAGTCACCATAGTTCATGTTACGCCCTTAAAAGTGGACTTTAACCACTTGAAGACCAGGGTGTTACACCACATTCATGTCCAGGCCATTTTTCAGTATTCAGCGCTGCGGTACTTTGACTGACATTTATTCCGTCATGCAATGCTGTACTGAAATGAATTGTATACCATTTTTTAGGGACAGATAGAGCTTTCTTATGGTGGTATTTAATCACCACTGCGGTTTTTATTTTTTACTATATTAAGGAAAAATTACCGAAATTTAAAAAAAAAAACAGTTCCCCCTATATTAAATTATAAAACATTTATTATTACCCAATTTTTGGTAAAATATAAAAGACGGGGTCACATCAGACACCAAACATGTCAAGCCTTAAAACGTCTGCATTCAGAGGTCGGAGGGAGATCAGCAAGGAGGAAGATGCTGATCTCCCTCCCTTCTTCCTCCTGACACTCTCACGAGCCGGTGCCGGGCCACAGATGGGGCAGCGGATCCTGGGATTGAAGGTGAGGGTGCAGGAGGGGGGGGACAGCGAGACGGCAGCACTGCAGTAGGACGGGGGCGTGCGCAGGCCACACATACAAGCGATCGGACGGCTATAGAGCCGCCGACCGCTTGTATGTGAAACAGCCGGTAACGGCTGTTTGCAATGGACGTTTTTTTCTGCGCGTGCGCTAGGGGACGTGCACGAGCAGAGAAAAAAAGCTGTTTATTTACGGCAACCCACCAATGGGAGTTTGCCGTCCGGCCGTTTTTTTACAACAGGCGCACAGCAAGCAGTTAAAGGAGACTTATGGGGAAAGTGAATACATTCATCCTCTTACTTAGAGCCGCTGTCACACGTCGGCTCTATTGACTGAAAACTGAGTGTTCACATACCGCTGATCGTTCACAATCTTCTCCCGGCAGAGAGCGGTGACTGTCAGTCACCACCCCCGACAGGGATTCCACCCTCCCATCTCTGTTCCTTCAGCGCTGAATGGAGGGACAGGCTTAGAAGGGGGCGGGCAAAGCTGGTTCTGCCTCTAGAGAGGCAGAGCCAGCTGTCAATCAAGCAGCAGGGGACAATACTGTTGGGATCTTTCTCTGCGCTGTCAGCATTTAGCAGGCAATAGCATGTTACATGCTGACATTTGGGTCACATGAGGACATTAGTAAATGTCCTCCAGTGACCTTAAAGAGAACTAGGGCCAAAAATAGTTTGACCATAGTTCTATTTTATGTATGTAGGCTTTCTTGCAAAATTTACTAAAAATTATCACTTCTACGTTGCAGTAAAGTTGGTATCCCCCATCCCGAACACCCCACCCCTGTCACCCGAGACATTCAAAAACATTCTCAGGATTGTAGATCAGGTAACTTCTATTCCCTGATCTCCTTTGCAGTGTGTAAATTTCAGAATGAGCACTTTCCATCGCTCATTGAAGTGGACTCCTCAGTTCTAATGAGCGTTAGGAACATAGCCCAGATTCAGTCACCCTACTTCAACCACAGTGGAATATATTTGCTGGGAGGCATCTTGGCGGGAAAATTCGCTTTTCATTGATGTAACTTCCTCTCTGTGGAACACAAACCTCACTTCCTTTGGAAGGAAGTCTATAGAGTAAGCATTTTTTTATTTGATGTCATTTCCTACCAGTGGAACACAAACCTCACTTCCTCCCAGTGGAACACAAACCTCACTTCCTCCCAGTGGTACACAAACCTCACTTCCTCCCAGTGGAACACAAACCTCACTTCCTCCCAGTGGAACACAAACCTCACTCCCTCCCAGTGGGACACAAACCTCACTTCCTCCCAGTGGAACACAGAAACCATTTCCAATAAGGGAATCCTGAATGTGCAACCATATAGAAAAAGGCTATTTTAAATAACAATCTTGCTGTGAGGTCTGCTCTTATTTCCGCCTGTGCCACCTAGGGTCGCACTCGATATTTGATAACTCCCAATGTAATCAATGTGCATGAATTTTTTCTCTATAGGCCTACATCAGGTACCCAACTGGTCCTACATGGGTTGTGTTTTTATAGGGAAGGGTTTTCGCTATTGTTGGGGGGGGGGGGGGGGGGTTGGGGCCACTTGGGG